AACGATATCCAACATTATTGACAACTGCCCTAAATTCAGTCATCAAAGACAATCTGCTAATCTAAACAAATCTTTAGATACTTTAATGTATTCATCCGAATATCCGAACAAAATGATCAAGTTTCGTAAAAATCATATTCTTAATGCCATATGATAATACGTAATTTTATTGTGTATTATTTATAACATGTGATGCTATTCAATGTTAGGATATGTGTTACGTCACTTATGTTAATGTAATGATGGATGAAATTATAATTATTTAAGCACTTGCTATAAATCATACGTCGCTAATAATCTTAGTTGTTGATGCGACTAACTAAAAATAAAGAGAAAAAGATTATAAACGAAATTGGAACCCATCACAGAGTATAAAAATATTTTTATGGTATTTTTATTATCAAAAGATCATTGTCATAAAGGTTTGTGAAGTGATTTGATTCGAACATGGAATTAATGGACTTGTGTTATTATCTGTAATGTTTCTGAGATTATTCTACAATATTTTCTGGATCAATTATCCAAAATTAGTTTTTATTTTAGAGAGAACTTTATCATAAATGTTTATGAAAAGATTTCATTCTAACATGGCAGTAATTGTAAGTTAATTCATTAAACATGTCAATTAATTGTAAATTATACTCTAAAATTCTGTTCAGGGAGTGAATAGTATTTAGAAATTTATTTTTATCATATATAATAGGCTGGTCATTAGAGAAAAGTCTCAATATCCAGTAATCAATACAAATTAAAGAATCCATTTTCAATGATATCCTCCAAAGTCATGTCAAAATTGAAATGGGATTTCCTTGACTTACTCTAGTTCTGACGTCAGAATCGATCATTTTTAGGAAGCATCATTTCCATCACAAGTTTGTTTAAGTTCTTTTAACAGTTATGTTGACACATTCCCGGTCAAATTACTTCAAATTTAGCGCCTTGTTTTTTTAACAGAGCCCTTGATGTTCTTTGGAGTTTCAGAGCAAAGGTTTAAATATTTTAAACTTGGCGCCTCTGAGATTTATGGTAATATACAATGATTTTCCCCAAAAAGCCGCGCGAAGTTCTTCTCTGATCAAACAGTCATTTCTTCGTGCAAAGTTCCTTGAAGTCGATTGTCAACTTCTTTCTATTAGTTCGCAGCGTCACCGAAAGATAACACCAGCTCCTGGACAAATCCTATGTAAACTTGTCATTGTCGAAATGCTGGGAATTTCCTATCGCAGACGCCTGCTCGCATTGTCACCACAAGCAAATGCGGAAAGCTGAGTCAAAGCGTTTTGAACGTCTTCAAGGTTCGATCCAGAGTGTGCCAGGGACTGGATGTAGTAGAAACACGAAACAAAAAGCCACGGAATTTGTAAGGAAAGGTTTAATTTCGTTTGGACAGAGGTAACTGTGACAACTTCAACACTCGTTATGCTTTCTCCAAGTACCAAGCCTTGTCAATTGTGCGTCACCTCTTTTCCAGAACACTCTTGTCTGACAAAAAACTACTGAGATAGAAGAAGCAATGTTCCGTTGCCATTTCCATCAAAATGCTCTCCCAACTTTTCTTCGTCTATTTCGCCGCCTGAACAAGTTATAGTAAGATTTTTCTGCATCTCTCTTAGAGTTTCATATTGTGATTCAAGATGTTTCCCTTCGCAAAAAGCATCCGTCACCAAGCTACTGAAAACCTTTTTCAATAGCTATCCATGTCAATCCCTATCCTACTACACGGTAGCACCATTTACTTTACATTTAATAATAATTTTCATCTCCGGAACGAGATACACAAATGTTTCTTCACGTGTAAAATTAACTCCTCTTTCTCTATTCTTTCCCCTTTCCGTTTTGAAACTCCTGCACACACAAAGTACGACGCAATAAAACAAACATTTACAGCGAACTCACACACAGCTCATGCCGAAGTAAAGTGCAACACAAAATAACAACGAATGCAGCGAAAACGCCTGACACTTCCCTTACCAAAACACATTCGAATTTGCGCGCACAGAGCGCGTTTGACTCGACAATGCGGCGTTGCCGCAAGTGAAAGAGCAATCAGCAAAATAATTGATCAGAAAGATATGTCATATATTTTAAGAAGCGAGACCTTTTGGAGAAACGCAAAATAAATATCACGTACTTTTATCTGACGGATAAAATATCCGTCGGATTAGTATTCGGAACTTTATCAGGCACCGGTGAAATAGTCCCATAATAATTAAAATGTATCCATTTGCTTTACGTTCAGTAGTTGAGTTAACTAGTTTCGTTTAATAAATATTATTTACTAATAATGCGGATAGGGTGGCCGACCCATAAATCCGAAATTGGATTGTTAGAGTATTCGATTGTTTCAAAACTTTTATGAATGGGAATAAGGCGAATTTTTGATGGAAAGGCGTTTATAAATAATATCATGGATCTCCAAATAAGGATGGGAAGAGCCTGATCTTCACTGCCAGTCCGCCAAAAGTCCTTTGACTCAACGATGGCGCTGTTGTCATCATGTCGACCTTCCCGATCTCGAGGAGCGTCCGCACGGCGCCAGGCAGCGCAGAGACGCCTGCCAGCTTGTCGTCCGCCAGCGAGTTGAGCACGAGGTCGACGCCGCGGCCGCCCGTGCGCCGCAGCACCAGCGCTCGAAGGAGAGGTCGCGCGAGCTGCGATGTCGTCGGCGCATCTGCGCGCACAGCCGTCCGCGTGGCCGTCACTGGAGCGCCGCGCCGGCCGCGCAGCAGAGAGAGGAGATGTGGGAGGGGGGCGTCGGGTACCTGCGGGAAGGCGCGCAGCAGGAAGTCCTTCTTCTGCTGGGTGCCGACGGTGGCGAAGACGACGGCAGCCCGCGAGCCACGCGCCAGGGTGAGCGCCGCCTGTCCGACGGCGCCGCTGGCCCGCGTGCACCAGCAGCTCTGCGCCGCCGCCATGCGCCCCACCATCTCCAGCGCGAACACCACCTGCGCACCCACCATGCCATAGTGCGGGAGATACGCCTCAAATTCAAGTGAATTCGAAATGGAAAAAGTTTATTTTTTGCGAAGGTTTTACCTTCTTTTAATTACCAGAACGACTTCTGACTTAGAGGAACAATGAGGAAAATAAATCAATTTCTGTTTCGATCTGATTACGACCATTCTTCTATTAAGGATGATTTATTACCATACCATAAATGTATTTGATGAATCATAAGTTTTTTTAGATAAGAGAATTTGAACTCAAAAGCTTGAAAAATGTGTACAAATCCATTTGTTTTGCAACTGCGTGAAAACGTCAGAAATCATTTGATTTTTACGAAATCATTGAAATCGTTAGTCTAAATTAGTTTCCAAACGCGTGAATTTGGAATCATAATTCTCTAAATTAATAATCATACAGCACCACACCGACAACGGCGCCCCGCACAAGTACATTTTCCTTTCTCGCTACCGCTTATGCGGTAGAAAGTTATGTAATGCTGCGCGAAAAAGCGGAGCAATTTGAACAGAAAAACTCGTATTATCGAAAAACTCCTCTAACTCGTCGTGTAGCCAGAATCCATGTATTGTGTTTCCTTGATTCCAAAAAATCGATTGATGGCAAAACGTCTGCCTTTCAGTCAATGTCTGTCCGTTCGTCCGTGGTCTGTCTGTGAACAACGCAAACGACTAAACCGTTTCTGAATCGTTCTAGCTAATGTCACGGTCCCTGGAATTTCAAACTTTTTTTTAATGTTGGTACTCCCAACATTACACGAAGCCTATATGCAATTCTTTGTAATGGCTCTTTTTAGATTAAAGTTTGTTATTTTATAGCATGAAGGTCGTTAAAGAGAATGGCGCAAGTCTCATGTTCGTTGACAACCCTAATTTACGGAAAAGTGGAAAAATTCAATCTTTTTGGCGTCTTCTTTCAATTAAAATATTGAAGATAGAGGTTTTTTCCCACAACTACTATAAAGGTACAGTTTTTTGCCATGAAATATATTCAACAAAAACAGATCTCTACATTATGTTTATTCAATTTTTGAAAGCCTGAGTCGTTTGTGAGTAATTTTGTGTCAAGCATAAGAAATTTGTATTATCTTTAAACCCGTTTTTCTTAAAAACTCTCCAAATTTTGTTGTTTAAATTTGGACTTTAGCTAGCGTAAAGAACACTTAAGAAAATGGTGTAAGTCTCATGTACTTGGATATGCAAGATTTTTCGAAAAAATTTTTTCGACCTCCTCCAACAACTACTGTTGTGAAGATACAAATTTGTCCTATTAATGAAATGGTTTCATCAAGAAAGGATCAGCACATAAAGCCATGTTATTTTTTTCGAAAATATAGTATTTTTGGGTAACAAAAACTGAAACCTCTCACCAACCACTTGCCGTCCTCCGTCCTCAATTCCACACACTTCGTCGAACTCATCCGCTCCACTAGAATACGCCCTGATGATTTCCTGGTCAGTTTCGATGTTACCTCTCTCTTCACTAGGGTGCCAGTAAGTGACGATAACCAGATCGTAGCAGACAGTTTCACGCTTCATCAGCTTCCGAGGGAGTAGGCCAAGCTCATTAAGATCTGCCTTACGGCCACCTTTTTCCAATACGGACAAGAGTTTTATGCTCATACAGAAGGCACCGCTATGGGCTCACCGCTATCTCCGGTCATCGCGAACCTTTTCATGGGAGCTTTTGAAGAGCAGGCTCTAAAAAACGCGCCCCTTAAACCATCGCTATGGCTGCGTTACGATCCTTTCGTCATCTGGCCCCATGGCTCTGAATCTCTTCACACCTATCTAGAACACCTCAACAGCATCCTTCCTCGCATCAACTTTACCATGGAAACGGAAGAAAACGGGTAACACCCTTTCCTGGACGTGCTAGTGACCAGGCGCCCTGACGGCACACTCACACCACCATCCTGCCACGAAACGTGGTGTCCTTTCCACCTCCTCTTTCCTTCTCGCTCACCTAGAAATTAACTTTGAGAACATGTGTCTGGGGTGGATATAGTTACTTGAATTAATTCCTTTTATGTATCTTACCGTTCCATAGGCAGCAGGTATCGTGGATGCTTCAAGGAGAGTCATTTCATCAGGAACATCCCATAAGAGAAATTCAGGTGCTATAATCTCCGTAGACACGCAACCTCCCATCCTCATTCCCATGACTCGGCGGCCGCTCGAGAGTCGACCAGAGAATTCAAAGCCAACTACAGCGTCCTGGAAGGGGAAAGCCAAATGAGTATATAAGTGATTGTCTGGTGTACTTGCGGTGCTACAGACCTCAAATTTACACAAAACGTTAAGATAGAAGGAAACCAAATCATCAATAACCTGAGAATAAAGTAATATTACTTATAGAGTTGTCCCTTTCAGAATGTGCTTCGAAGTTCATTTTATTGATCAGGGGAGGGTAAAAAATATGCATTAGTAGGAAATTAATAAAGTAAATAACCTTATATTTTCTGAATGAGAGAATTAATTCCTTGAACAAGGGAAGAGAAAATAATTGTAAAATTCTTATATTTATTGAAATTTTATTATGTTTTTTGTCGAAAAAGATACATTTTACCAATTTGATACAGAAAATTTTCCTATACCTTCTATCTATGAACCCTACAAATAAAGTGTCAAGTAATGGAGAAATATTACCGGGTCACCCCTGGGCAAAACGTCTGCGTCCAACTTGGCGGAAGCGACCATCAATCGCGGAAGTCAACGCAGCGTAGTGCACGTGCACCAGACGTGGCAAGCGCGTTACAGAAGTTCGCGGACAAGAAACAAGGCAGCTGTGACGACAGGAAGTTCCGCCCACAGAGGACGGCGCAGGCAGAGGGGCCCCCACTTTTCAGGGTCGATGCGGGCTTGAACCAAGCCTACGCTAGAGAGGGCCGCGCACGGGATTTCGCAGAAAAGCGTGTCGCACGGGCACGGACGGCGCGGCAGCCAGCGGCAGGTGGCGCATGCATCCCCAGCGGCCGCCTCGCAGACGTTACACCGCCAGGTCCAGCTCCAGCCGCCGCAGCCGCTCCCAGCCAGCGCTGACAGCGTCGTCCCAACGCGCCGTCCTCCACGTCCGCCTCCTCGGGCAGCAGGTACAACCTGGCGAGTGGGGGCCGGCGCGGGCTCCTGGCAGAGCAGTTTTGAAGAGGCCCAGCGCGCCGTTGCAGCGCCCCCGCGCCACCAGCGCCACGCGCTTCTCGGCCGGGTTGGGGTCGCGCAGCGCGCTGCAGCCGCTCCACCCACGCGAAGCGTCTCCTCCCTCCCTCCCCCTCCCCTCGGCCAGGCTCGGCAGCGCACCAACGTTGAGCTGCGCGGGCTCTGCGCTCCAGCCGCCCTTGCGAGAACAGCAGCAGCCACGCGCCGCCGCGCACACGCATGCGCAGCGCCATGCTGAGGGCCAGCGGCGGCGGCCGCGTGCGCTAGCACGCGTCACAGCTGCCCCGGGGAGTGCACGCGCCAACAAGCAGCGGCCGCGCCCAGCGTCACCGCGGCGCTGGCACAGCCGTTCGTCCGGCACTCTCCGCGTCGCTCAGCACCAGCAGCCCAGGTCGCGCTCCGCGCCAGCTTGGAAGCGTCGGCCGTGGGCCCCGCCCCTGCCTCCGCGCCCTCCTCCATGGAAAGAGCGTGGCCTTGGCCTGCACCAGCGGCAGGTCGGCCAGCGCCGCCAGGAGCAGGCGGCGCAGCGGCGTCAAGGCCGCGCGCCACCACTTCGGCCACGCGCACGGGACGGGGGGCGTGCGCGTGACGGGCGGGCGGTTTCTCTGCACCAACTGCACGCACCGCGCAACGCCTCCGCCGTCTCCCACTCGCGCTCCTCGCTCTGGGCTGCGGCGTCGGAGCGTAGGGCACGAACTCGTAGTGCTCCAGCACGGGCTCTGCCAGCTGCGGCGGCGAGCGATGGGCGTGGCGAACAGGCCGCGTATCTCGACAGTGCCGGTCGTGATGAGGTCCAGCTCTGGCACCATCTGCGCCTCGAGCACTGTGCATGTGAAGCCACCCGTGCCATTTGTTTCTCGACGTAAATAATCAAATTGGTTCCTAGCTCTATCAGCCAAGGAGAAAAGAAAATTCTAGCTTAATGGCGTAAAATAACTTTTATTCAAAGTTTTATGAAAAGAGATAGCTTCATAAAAATTATTTATTTTATTTGAAGTTGACATTGTTTATTACTGTAGTAGGAAATTGGCCTGGATCAGTGAAAATTGAAAAACCGTATTTTCACTGCTGACGCAAATTTCGCTGGAGGGAAAACGGCTTGTTTCCAAAGAAAAATATTATTGCCGGACTCTGGTTTGATGCAACTCACGTGCCCCGTACTATGAACACCATTTATGATCTCAAATTATTCATACTCGTAACATTTCTTTAGACTAAACGATCATAAAATTGTTCACATTTGAACGATTCGTTCTCGAAACTCATGGTTGTATAGTTTGCCATAATTACCAGTACACTCATTGATTTTAGATATCTACTACCAACATCCTGTAAATTATCTAACATTGTTTGCGATCTGCATTAAATTTCCTGTTTCATGACAGTCTGTTCTCCATTTTCAAGAAGGATTTTGATAATTTCATTTGAATAGAAGACATGCAATTAGCTAGTTTTCGTGACATTTGAAGTGATTACAAAACTTTATCTCAGAAATTTTATGGAATAAAAATCGCTTAATCACCTAAAGCATTGGCGTACTTATCTTGGATGTTCATTAGCGCCAAGCGTGCTTAGCTCTAAATAAATTCACCATGTTCTCACTTACATCGCCGGTTATTCGCATGCTGTCAAGCACCCCCAACAGTTCGCGCGTGTCCAAACACCTTCTGGATGGACGTGGGGTACGTACAGCTGCGTGGAGTCGCGTCCCAGGATTTGCATCTGCAGGAGAGCGTCCAGGAAGGAACCCAGTTGTTGTTCCAGCGAATCAGCGCGCGCCCCCTGCAGTGGTACATCATCCTTCATTTAATAATCGAACGCGATAAAAACAATATTTTGATTATTTTATTTTATTATTATTATTATTTTATTATTATTATTATTATATATTATTATGCGTGTATGAACCTACACTGCAGTAGTAAAATGTCGTTTTCAAAATACGAAACGAATGTCTAAATCTCTCTGTACAGAGAAAACGGCTTTCCTACCCGATTTTAAGTGAAATTTCCCAACTTGCAGAAAAAATACCACAAATTAATTTAATTACAATTTCGCTGATAAACAGAATTACCCCTATGTCAAAAGCCTTATCCCTTTATTTTGAGGAATATGTAACTGAAGTGAAATAAGTGTAAAAAAGCAATAATAAACTACACTCTACGACTACAAAATTTCAAAATATGAAAGTTAAAAGTAATCAATGTCATAATTATTACAATTAAAAACTATAGTACAAAAACTACAGTGAAAAGAACTTATTTCAAGTGACGAATTGATGGTTCCTAGCATAGTCTTGAACAACACATCACTCGCGTCTCAGGAAATATATTTATATATAGACTTCCTGCAATACAAGCACAAGTAGAAATATTGCGTCTGATTTTCATCGAAAATTGCAATCTCACATTGACTACACAGCACGTGATCGAAATATATTGCAGCTTATTTCCCTCCAGATTTAGAGGAACCATGTTGCACGCGACAGAGCATGTAAGAGACCTTCCGTCGCACTCACCGTCCGGGCTGGCCGAGTGAATGGCGCGGAACAGCCCCTGGTAGTTGTACCCCGCGCAGCCGCCAGGCACTTGTACACGTGCTGGCTCAAGTCGAAGTCGGGCACCTCGTCCCCGACAGGCGGGGGCGGGGGCGGGCAGCGCGTCGTCCTCGTCCTCGTCCTCGTCGGCGTCTGCCCGCGCTCGGCTGGCGGCGGCGGCGGCGGCGTGGCGGCGGCGGCCGCCTCGGCGTCGGCGGGGCGGGGCGTGCCCCGCGCGGAGCCATCTCCGGGACACCATCTCGCCGCCGCGTCCGCCAACGATTCGGACCGGCCGCTCGCCACCACCGGTGCCGTTGTCGCGATACCTCCCAGTCGCCGCTCGCGCGGGTGCACGTTTCACCAATCAAGCCTCCTGCGTCTCACCTGGGGAGAGCACCACAAACACCAGAACGTTAGCCAACTGCAGCATCTCCCTCTCTCCCTCCCCCTCCCCCTATTTTAGAGTCGCCAGTACAGTTTTTGGATGGCGGGTGTCGACATCATGCGATTGCATAGGGGCATTGCTTGGCGTACCATACGGCGGTCCTCCCTGGGGGTTCATTCTTGGTCGACCCGAGCTTGCTCGACGTGCTTGCTCATGTACCCATTGATTCCGACATCGACGACTGTGACATCTGAATGGCACACATGACTGGCAATTGCACGACTAACCAGCGCCAACATATCCCACAATGCGGTCTCACACAAAATCAGTCAATTGGGGAATAGGTTTTTGTAAAACGACTGCGTGACATCGCGGATGCTTCTTATTATAGGTAAACTTCGTTCTTCACTGTCTGACTCAAAACAGCTGATTGATAACACCTGCGCAACAACTGAGCGGTAACATCACGAATGCACTCTGGTGGACACACATTACAGATACGTGTGCATATAATAATTTACTCACACATCAATGATATGCATGTATACAAAAATGCGATAATAATGGACCACTCCTGGGTGTATCACTTTTTTGTCAGGTAGTGTATATATTTCGGATTTTTAACACAAATAATGAACATAAATTTATTTAATTTAATAATGACAAACACAAAGCATCTTATGACGTCTGATATCTTGCTGAACAGTACATTTAATTGGCAGTGAGTGTTCGCAGCAATTCTCTTCACAATACCCGCTGATACTTCAATTGGTAAGTTCCCCTCCGAAATGTTTACGACTACACGAAAAAAAACAGTTGCAGTTGTAGTAAGTTCCCTTGTTACAATATCATGGATCTAGTATACTGCAACTGTTCTTTTTTTTCTCAAAACAATCTGGAAACTTTTCCCTATACTGAGTGACGAAACGCTAAGTCCATTCGACGCTGTTTCTTTTCAGAAATTTTTTCTGCGATTTCTTCATTGAAGTCATTGATTTCTCGCGTTTAATGAATTCAACACTATTCATTGTCAGCATGTCAGAAAAACAAACACTATAGCATTGGTAAACCAAAATGCATTAAAAGTAGCCTATTACATACGTTTACAAAAATAAATTAGGCTTTTCACTTACTTCCGAATTAATTTGTATTTGCAACTCACTTTAAAACACAAAAAAACCTGCATGTAACATGCAATTAACACAATACTTATAAATCCAATACTTCACAGCATTGCGTTTTTGTTTCGTTTCAGTAGAGAAAAAACGCTCGTATTTCGCGCGCAGCTTATTTAACTCCGACTGTGCAGTAATACTCGCACCCACAACGGAGTGCTACATTCATAACCCACTGTTGTTCCAGCTGGTTTTCTCGAAAGGCATTGGCGGCACACTGTCAATCACAGCTTCTGAACAGCGCGTGCTTTGAAATACCTTTCGAAAACGCTCTGAGAGGACTTGTAATCCCCTTTTGGGAAAATGTAAAGATAAATTGCCCGATTTAATTTGGGTGTGCGTATGCGAACGTGCGAATACCCACCAACCGTCACTAAATGGAACAGTCCATTTTTATGTTACCAGAAATAATACACTAACTATATTAATTTCTCTTCTCTATTAATTGGATGTTGTTATATATTTAATAAAGTAATTTCAATAAAAAGGGAGAAACTCTTCTCTAGCCATAAACGAGATTACAAGTTCATTGAACATTAAACACAACAACAAAAAAGAAGAATGATAGAAAGACGGTGTAATACTTCAGAGTGTAAGTGGAAATCAGAACTGCGAGAAAACTATATATTATTTCTTTGAGGCAACATGCACTGGAGTATTTCCAATCTCATCATTTATCATCTCTTTAATATAATAAATAAAACACTTATGTAGAAAATTAAGAATTTAGGTTAAATTAAACATGACGCTTTGTCTAGTACATGTTTGACATCAATTTTATGATGGGATTTGTAAAAAAATGAAAGAGCTATACACAGGAAATATCGTAAATACTTTGCAGAATAGAAATATGCCTTTTTGCTTACCTTCCACACGTGGGAGCTTTGTGGCGCGCAGAAAACGAACGTTCTCGAATACAACTGGGACCTCCGTGTACAAACGTCCTTCTAAGGCAGCAGCGGTCTGCCACACCAATTTCTGCACAATGGATTTTGGGAAATCGTTAACTTCAATATACTAAGAAATCATTTATCAACACTTTTAGATTAATAACTCTACAGGGCCCAAGGCCGATATTCAGGAAAATATCCACGATTAGGTCACACTAGGATTCTCAAGACAAATCAACTGCGGTGAGCACAAGCACTGCCACTCTACGATGACAAATCAATCGAAAACCGAAGAATTATCATTACCATATACGGGCTCAAACTAACTTCCTCGGGCGCCTGAGAAAACTAATACCAATATTATAGTCAGCATATTTCTTAGATTACAAGTCTTGCACTTCATCACTGTAAACCATAAATACATTATTATTTCATTCATTATTTTTTGTATCCAATCTAAATATGCATTCTGAACTCAGAACCATGAAAAATTTAGTAAAAATGAAGACATCGTGTTTCGCAAATAACGATATTACTCATGACTAACTTACTACGTTTGGCGCATTTTTTACAGTGCCTTTGTATAATATAAAATATGAAAACAAATTCACGAAATTTAATATTCTGTATACACGTGCAGAACTTTAATGCTTGACACAAACGATAAATTGGCATGCGATTTGTGGAAAAGGGCGAGCACCCAATTACGACCGGCCTGCGGAGGAACCAGATGGCAACCAGCACTCACCAAGTACCCAGTGGCCGGGATGAGCGGTCGGCCGTCGATCACGTGGCCGTCCATGTCTCGTTCTCATCTTCCGAGGGTTCGACGTGACGAGGGCGCT